ACCACCGTGGATGACCAAGTGCTCGACGACGAAGGTGCTGGTGAAGTCGCCAGCTTCCCCCATGCCCAGACTATCCTAGTCCCAGGCCACCATCTCGTCGAACATGACGTCGCGCGACACAACTACCTTGTCTCTGTGTGCGTCGTACAGCCGGTACGCCTTGGTATCTTCCTCGTAGCCCAGGAGCACCATCGGTGTGCTCTAGTCCTCCAGCTTGGTGAGGACCGGTTTCGTCTTCCTGAAGTGGCCGATGCAGCCGAATGTCCAAAAGAAGGACACGCTCGGCTTGCGCCCATATCAAGCTTCAAATGGCGTCTTGCCCTTTAGGGCCATGGTCGGTGCGCGGTTGAGGATGAACACCGCCGTGGTCACCGCCTCACCCTAGAACCTTATCGGCATGCTCTTGGCCTTTATCATGGATCGAGCCATGCCGACCACCATCTAGTTTCACCGCTCCACCATGCCTTTCTATTGCGGCGAGTACGGCGCGGTGTGGTGTCGCACCACACCCTGATCCACGCAGTACGCAACGAACTCCACCGAAGTGAATTCGCCGCCGCGAACAGTCCACAGCACGCGCAGCTTCTTGCCGCTCTCCGCCTCCGTGCGTGCCTTGAACTTCTTGATCACCTCCGCTGCCTCATCCTTGCTCGTCAGGAGTTGCAGCCACATATAGCGACTGCAATCATCCATGAGCAGGAGGAAGTACCGCCGACCACCATTTGTGGCTGGCGTGATTGGCCAGCAGAGATCGCTGTGGACGAGCTCGAGAGCGTTCGCCGCGCGATACTTGGCTGCCTTTAGGAATGGCAGCCTCCTCTGCTTCCCAGCCAAGCAGCTATCACACAGCTTGCCTGCGTGCTTGATATGAGGCAGCCCTCGGACCATCTTCTCTAGCCGACCGAGTGTGTCGAAGCTGAGATGGCCAAACCGGGCATGCCACAGCCATGGCTCCTCCATGTGCCATGAAGCCAAGCAGATGGGCTGCTCCACCTTCAAGTCGAGCAGGTATAGGCGGTTCTGGGACCTCTTCACCTTGGCAAGAAGCCGCTGCTCCTGATCCCTGATCCTAAGGACACCGTCCTTTGATCAGTACCTTGCTGCCACGCTCATCTAGCTGGCCAATGCTGATGATGCTTGAACGCAGCTGCGGGATGTAATATACATCCGTCAGCGCACGGTGCTCGCTATTCTGGCACCTAAAGATGATGGTGACACGCCCTCGGATCGCCACCCTTGAGCCGTCACCGAACTTCACTGTGCCGGTCACGTTGCCGTCGAGCTCGGAAAGGCTGCGTTGGAGCCTATCATGTGGTTGCTGGTGCCAGAGTCCAAGTACCACCGCTGCTCCTGCTCACCGCCCACACATCTAAGGTGGACTTGGGCGCGCGGTTCATCAAGGTTGACATTCTTCAGAGCCTTGTCATGCCTTTCCACCGCCATCACCTCTCCCTTTTCCTTGGCCTCAATGTCGTGTAGTGCACAGAATGTCGCCATAAGGAGAGTGGCCTCATCATCCTCATTAGCCTACGCTAAATGAGCCTCAGCTTTCTTCTCCTGCTTACGATTTGGGCACTCATTTTCCCAATGGCCCATCTTCCCGCAGCGCTGGCAGGCGTTGGGGTCGACCTTCTTCTTCTTTTCCGAAGAAGCCTTGCTGCGGCGCTTGCCATCACCACCGTGGCTGGAGGAGGATTCCTCAAACTTCTTCTCCTTCATCAGGACAGCCCACTCCTCCTTCGTTAGCAGCAGCTTGCCGCTGTACATCGTTGTTGTGGCCTGCTCCATGCGCTCGTCCACCGCCCGCAGACGGCCTGTCACATCCTCAATGGTGTGGATGGACAAATCCAATATCGTCTCTATGGAGAGAGCGATCTGGATGTACTTCACTGGCACGAAGTGGAGGTACTTGGAAACCGCCGCTTCTTCATCAATGGTAACGCCGTGGCTCCTCAGCTTGCTGATAAACGACTACAGGCAGAGAGAGAAGTCCTCCACCAACTCACTATCTTTGAACTTGAGGGTGGCGTACTCCTGATTCAACAGTTGGGCCATCGCCTTCTTTGCGCGGTCGAAGCCGACGCGCATCGCTATAATGGCCTCCCGCGCCTCCTTAGCAGAGTTTTTCGCCCCCAACGCCTCCCTGTACTCCGCCGGCACAGCAGCGAGGATAGCCTCCAACACTGACATGTCTTCTTCTTCGTTGTCGGTGCCCTTATTAATGGCATTCCAGAGCCGTCGGGCTCTGAGCTTGACCTTCATGGTCACCGCTCACTTGTCATAGTTGGTGCGAGTCAGCGTCGACCAACTGGTGCCGCTGACCTCCTACACCGTGCGCACGAGGACCTGCTGTCGTGGCTAGGCAGCCACAACAGTACAGTTGCTGTCGCCCATCTCTAAACCATCCGTCATCGCCAGCGGTTAGTCCGGCAACGGCGCTTGTACAGCTCTGATACCACTTGTTGGTCCCAAGATCTACCGTACGGGTGAGCCGACCGCTCACCGTCGTTGCCAACCACACACACTACGGCTGGAGGTAGAAGAAGGGAGGGAGAACAGAACGCACACATACAGCACAAGCACCAGCGTTGGCTGGAGCTCTGCAGAGGAGATGACAAAACTGAACTCTCTCACTTTACTGAGTTACAGTGAGAAGCTATATATACAATTCTACCCATCTAATCCTAGTACACAGACATGCCAGGCTGTCATGCTGCTACAGTGACTAGATGTGACAGTAGGGTTGACTTTGACGCCTGCTCCTACTGTGGCTATAGTAAGGCAGGGAGCCTTTCGGCGTCTGCCTCTGTCGTGGCTACATTGCAGCAGCAGGGAGCCCTTTCAACGTTTGCCCCTGCCGCGCGTACAGAGAGAGCAGTAGATGACTTTACAGAGCTTCGATCAAAGGTTTCGCAGCTAACCCCGCATTCGTATACTGGGCTAGCGGAGCATTTTGTCAGAGACATCGAGAAGTGGGTTGATCTTGAATCTGGATTTCAAATCAAGTGAGTTTCCATTTAAAAATGGATACCTCTCCACATTTTTTTCTTTTTGACAACGATGGAGAAAAAAATAACAGACGGGAACCCTAGAAAATGGAAGTTCAATGCTGCGTGGCCTTGAATTGTTGAACAGGATAATTTGCGTGGTTCTCATTTATGATATTTTTGGCACATGTAAAATGCGCCTCAAGGAATTATGCTAGCTGTATCTTGACGGAAAATTATCGAGCTAAAAAAGTTGCTTGCTCGATTTCTTATAAGTATGGAGTTGTTTCTTATCATGCTATTTTTCTATTTAGTTGCCTGCTTGCCGCATATACAGTAATAAAAACTGGATTATAGGAGAAGACTCTCCTATTATGATTTTGAAAATATTTATAATGACAAATCTCCAAATCTCCCTTGACAATAAGGAGGTGCCAGACTCCGAACCTAAGGTCGGACGGGAGAGTCCTGGAGCTCATTGCTCTAACCGGTCGCACCGCCAGAAGGTTGACACATACAATAATACTTTCTGTTAAGTTGCTTTGTTGAGGTCTTGTGGGATGTAAACCTGTCGTGCCGCTTCGAAGCTACAGCAATTCCGCTGAGGCCCTGCAATGATATTTTCGATTTTCGGAACAAAAGCAGACTTTGGTTATCGGAAACACTGAAACGATGCAAATGCAGACTTTGGTAGTCGTTAGATACATTGGTTCCACACGCATTGATTCGTATACAAAGCAATATCTCTACTATAATGGACCAATTAAAATTATACTAGGTGCTCCGAGGAAAACGTCCTTCGCTGAGAGTCTCTAACCATTTTGCACCCAGAAAAACACACACAGAAATTCGTCTCTATTCCTCCGCTGAGAGTCTCTAACCATTTTGCACCCAGAAAAACACACACAGAAATTCATCTCTATTAAAATCAAGGACTAATAAAACACCTAAACCAAATTCGATGGCCACGATTCTACGTGTGATGCCAGACTTCTCACCCCCACGCCCTCCTCGCACCTCAACGCACGCAGCCTCACCCAGTGCGCCCTCCGCCTCACGCCGCGTGGCTTGTAATGCTCCTCACATGAGCAAAGTTCGAGAGCTGCAAACACGGAATAAAAAAAAGAAACGCACCATCGCCAGCCCGAGCCTCGCCCATGGACACGCCGCTCATAGGCCATCCTCTCCCCATTCGCGCCGCCGCCCATCTCCATCCTGCTCTCCGATCCCCACCCCTATCTGTGCAGTATTGACAAACCACGAGACACCACGCGTCCACGCCCTTCGGATCCCCACCTCCATGACTCGATCCCCCGCAGAGACTGAGCATGAGCGACACGGATGCGCTAGGCGGCCTCCAATGGCGACAACCACGAGCAGGAGTTGAAGAATAGGTGGTGGACAACTTCCTCATCATGGGACCTCAGCCGCCGCCTCACCGTCGTCACCCCTCCACCGCCCCAGATTGCCAGAGGTAACCGCTCCGCCCCCTTCTCGATCCGCGCGAAACCCTAGCTCAGGCCCGACTTTCAGGTTGATCTCGATTCGGTTCTCGATCAGCCCTTCGATCCGCGCCGTAGGTTTAGGGTTTGCGGGGGTTTTATGCGGGTGTTTGATGGTGCCACCCTCGTGGGGTTTCGCGCTGTTGTTGCAGGTGCGAGTTCATGGCTAGGCCACCATGCTTGGTGGTGCTAGGTGTTTAGATGCGTCGAGGGGGTGGTGCTTGGTTAGTGAAGCGAGTTCGCTTCGATTTATGTAGACTGGATGCAATGTTCAGGTTGCCTTCTATATTTATTTTGGGCCGCTGATTTGACTGATTGGATTAGTTTCAGTCAGTTATATATAGTTCTGATTTTTGTTGTGATACTGGCAGAGATCTCTCTTATTATGCTTCGTATCTATGTTTTGTGTACATTTGTTGTGGGTGTATGGCTCACTACATGCAGATCGGTGTGGTGATGTTGATGCACCTGTTAATATTCTTACGCCGCATAATAATGTAGCTGAAAACCAATGGCTCAGCCCTGTTTCTCAAAACATGCCCTGTTTCATTTGATATATGTGCAAAAGGTACTAGATCGCGCTTGGATATTTTTTAACTACTTTTACGATTTATCGCATGGTAAAAGAAGAATCTGCTTGAACTATAGAACACTCTGCAAATCTCCTCTATCCAAATATATACCTACCAGTTATTCGTGAAGATTTACTACATCTTTCTCTTGTCTTATGAAGCTTGATGCAATAATTTAATCGGTTAGTCATTATACTGATATATGTCATATGTCCTTGTACTTTAGCTTATCTGCCATTACCTGCTTGTCTTTTTCTTGTCAAGAAGTTCAGGAATGAAGAACAATGTATACTTTCATTTAGACAAGTTTTGAATTTAAGGTTTTATATGAGACCTTTTAAACATATTTTTTTGTTATCAGTTAACCATTTTGATTATTATACCTGTCTATTTAGCTTATCAGTTAACTGGCGCCTACCTCTTGCCTCACATCTACTTGTCTTTTTGTTGTCAAGAATATTAATTGGCTGATTTTGTTAGAGTTGCCTTTGGTATGCCAAGTTGTATTTCAGAAAATTGTTAGACTTGAGAATAGCAGGCTGAACCTTAACCAGTTGGAGCAGGAGCTCTAGCGTGCTCGCCAACAGGTATGATCGTCATGTACTCATCTTGTGTTCTTTGGATTCGACAAAATCTGCAGTTCATGTTGAACAAATTGTTTTTTCAACGTTTTACTACTTGTTCAGGGCATTTTTATTCCTACTCCGGGAGACCAGCCTCATTCAACTGGTGAAAATGGTAATTTACTGTTATTTTTGTGTGTCAAATGTTTAGATCACACTGGATAGTATCCTAAACTAATCTGTCATCCGTATTTCTAGGTGCTTTGGCATTTGACATGGACTATGCTGGATGGCAAGATGATCACATTAAGCAGATAAATGATCTGAGGGCTGCACTCAATGCACATGCCAGTGACGATGATCTTCGGCGTATTATCGATAGCTTCATGGCACATTACTACGGAGCTTTCAGGCTTAAGGGTGTAGCAGCCAAGGCAGATGCTATTCACGTGCCGTTAGGAATGTGGAAGACCCCTGTCGAGAAGTGTTTTTACGTGGTTAGGTCGATTTTGACCGTCGAGATTTCTGAAGGTTTATGGTCTCTCCTCACTTGTTCTTATTGCATCATGTGCTTCTGTCAAAGCTGAAAGGCTTTCCGGTTTCTTTTACACAGTTGCTTGCAAGACATCTAGAACCCCTTACTGAACAGCATTAACATTGGAAGGCCCACCAAGACACCAGGATATTGCTATTCCGATCTTTGGTATTCTAACTCTTTTCAACATGTGTTATTGTGGATGCACACATCACATGACTGCAAAGGCCATTGCACATGAACTGGACATATAGCATGAATCTCATGCATAGAAATATTAGACAGGTGAACAATATTTGAGGAGGGCTCTTCCAATTTGAGCTTGAAGTCCACCTGAACCACCTCATGCATATCAATTAACCATATTTTTTCCTTGACTCGACTCTTGTTGGTAGATTGATTTTTTATGGTATATCAATTAATTTTTTCTGATAATGATATCAATTAGTTATTGGATCACCGGAGTGTGTGATTGGATAAATTGTTAGTATTTTAAATGGCATCTTGGAATTTTCTTTCTACAATTATGGAGTGCAAACAAATTCTAGCTTACACTACATATGTACATGCTTGTATGTATACAACTGAATAATGTTGTAACATTGCTGGGATGTGGAGGAAGCCAAAGTTGTAGCATGCTTGGAGGGGATTCGGTAGAAGTAGAAACAAAATCTGTAACATGCTCGAGTCTAACAGCTCGTGAGTTTATTTCTTTTTCTTTTGTTGATACGTGCAAATACAACCTAATCGCTCCTTGGTGGCATCGATCGCCCATGATCAGCAGGAAGGCTGATAGCTACAAAGCTCAAGAATTGAGAAGTTTGGAATGGAGCGAAATAAAGTTGTGCATGAACGTGCATGTTTGGCCAATATATCATATCAAAGACTGAGTATTGTTTTTAATTTTGAGTCGAGTGATATTGTTGAATCTGTGATAATAAAGTTCTCTTTGGCAAAGAGTTGGGTGTCCTGTAGTAATTTTAGATTAAGATCTTTTGAAACTAAGTATTGTGTAGGTAAACCATTTTTTTGTTGTGTGATTTGTATTAGTAAATGTCACCGTAGCATTAGCACGGACATTATACTAACTAATATAATAGGCTAATGATGCTCGATAGCGACGGAAAAGGAGGTTTACGAACTTACCAGCGAGGCTGCCAACCCGTTCGGAATTGACACCAGCGGTTGTTTGTGCCCCTGAAACGGTGTTTCATCCTTATCCAGGTCCGTCCAGCACCCAGTCACACACTACCAGCCTCCGGGAGTTTTTTTTTTTTTGTAACGGCACGGAAGACGGCGGGGGTGACTCCTTCCGTGCTCTTTGCTTGCTGACGACAAACACAGCGAATGTTGGCCGGGCTCTGGACTTTGGAGCCCGGTACTCTGGTAGCGGTAGGGGAGATCCGGCGTTGCTGCCAACACCGCGACCCATGAGACGAGAGCAGCCAGCAGCGGCGTTTCTTAGGGCGTTTTGGTTGGAGGACGAAGTTAGAATGAGATTTAACGATATATGAATATTATGATAAGGATATATGTGACGTATCTTTGGTTGGATGGATAGAACGAGCTATTTTTCTGTTTAGTTGAATGGATGAAAGTGAATAAAATAAGAAGAGTTGACTAATTATATCTATTATTTAAAAATAATAACAACTAATTAGACACTAATAAATATGCACCAATACTAATTTTATCATTATAATCACTAATTTAAAATAAAATATATTAATTATCACCACTAATATCTAGTACACCTAAACAGGAAGAATCCACTAGCAAATTTCTACGTGATTCGTGAAGGCATGTCATTTTAGGGCTCCACGACCCCGGTCACTACGTAGGCTTCTTCGTTTCAGCGAAGTGAACAGGCTTAGTGAACGTGTGGGCATGCAGTTCAACGTAGAAACGGAACACCATCGGCCTCTCCTCCTTGCTAGCAACTGCCCCGACCACTTGGTCGCTTCTCCTTCCCAGCGTCTCTTCTCCTACCGTGACCCACAGCCACGATCCCTCTACAAATATGCTTGCGTGTGATGTACTTGCCACACAGAGCAAGTGATGCGCTCTGCCACCTGCTCGCAACCTATGATCTCCCACAAACACAAATGCAGCCACGATACACCTGAAATAAGGTGAGATAATGAGGATGGGGAAGAAACAGCTTGATCCAACTGAATCGTCGATGTCTTCGTGTTTAAAATGCCTTACTGTAGTGGCATGGTCATCCAATGCAACGGTCTGCTTGGCAATCTATGGCGCTAGCGAACTCTTTGGTAAGTGGCAATTCCTAATTTGCAAACTGTCTTGCCTCAACTCCGGTCCTTCAGATCACCTCCCCTGTTTTATCGTATCCTTGATGAGGTTATTGCTCACACTGCGTTGCAGCTTGAAAGGTGTTCGACGTTTTGCCCAAAAGGGCCATTGCCTGTGGATTCTGTCATTTCTGTGCTCTATTTCTTCAGAGGTCTCTTGCTGCTTGGTACATGAGCTCTCATCTCTTATATTTTTCTGATTTACATTGGAGGAGCAAAGGTATCTTCTATTTTGTAACTCTTTGCGGTTATTGTATTTGACACAACCTAGCATTTCCGTTCATGCAGCAAGAAGACGGTTCATGGCGTCCACGCCACTTAGCAAGTTAGCATCTGCACTCTAGCCCCGCTAAGCCGTGGCTTGGTAGCGACACAGCGAGTTACCATCCGGCATCGGCAGCAAACAAGCCCACTCTACTAGCCAACGTCCCAAAATCGTTCAAAGCATGGAAGCAAGTTGTTTTTTTTTTGAACCTGGCGACTTCGTTACTCTCTTGACAAATCGTCAGAAACGATTACAACAATATCATCAGGGATGGCACTTGTAATTAGCGCCTCACCTTCGACACAATCATAACCTAGACTCGCCAACACATGGGCTGCCTTGTTTCTAGCTCTACCCAAGAAATTACAAGCGAAATTGCAAAGTTTAAACTAGCAAAAGACTTTAACTCCTCAATCAAGCCTCCTTCAGGTCGAACGTCATAGCTTTGGGACTGCAGTGCTGTGTGGACATTGATGGCATCTGTTTCAAGGATCAAATTCCCAATGCCCAGGTTACTGGCCACATGAACACCTTGCAAACAAGCTATCAGCTCAGCGTGAAAAGCACTCAGCGCATAACTGATTCTTCCTCGGCCCGACATCACCACTTTGTTAGATTGATCTCTAATCCCAAATTGGGCTCAACGGCCCAGTTCGTTTTTGATCCGCGCCATCGGGGCGCCCAATTACTATGGTGGGAGGGGCCTCGTCTGCTCAAGCTATATATATAGAGGTGGGGGCAGCGGCTCTGATCTGAGATTTACCGTGAGCTGAGCTCCCACCAAAACCTAAACCCTAATCCCGATCAAAGAGGAGCGCAGCCGATGACGGAAGCCACCACCATGCCCAGCGCCCCTTCTCCACCGACGCGTCGGCGACTTCATTGACCTCTTCCCGAACGTCGCTGCCCGTGCACAGACTTCACCGACGAACGAGATGGCGACTTCTGGACCATCTCCCTCTGCGGTGTCAGGTTCGACACGTTCTTCTTCTATTCCTCTCTGTCTCTCTACTCTTGATATCACATTCACAGTAAATAGAACCCGCTAGACCTAACCCTAGATAATCTTTTTGATCTCAACAATGGTATCAGAGCCTCACTGGGTATAGATCTAGCATATCGGAACCCTCTGTCTAGATGTAGATCATGTCAGGGGTAAGAAACGGATTAGATCCGTTCGGATCTGAGAAGAGAAGAGGGTCGCCGAACCCTAACCCACGAAGCACTCGCTGGGGAAGATGAATAGTGACTCCAGTGAGTCAAACCCTAACCCTAACTTGACTTAACCCTAACCCTAATCCCCAATCAGATGAAATCTGAGAAGAACAGAGAAGAAGATTCAAAATAGATGAAGAAAAGGAGAAAGGGGAAAAGGGGAAGGGGTCTACCTCGCCGTTCACCGCGCTGCCGCCTCGCCGGTGTGCGGGAAGACGGCCGAGCCGTGTGAGCTCCGGCAAAGGGCACCGCCGCTAGTCCGCTCGACGGTGGCACGCTCACCCGTGTGGGGAGCGCGCGCGTCGGTGAAGGGGCCAGCGACGGCGCCATGCTTCACTGTGTCTCGCGTCTCGCTCTCGGTCGCTCGCTGTTGCTGCGCTGAGAGGGAAGGAGCGCGGCGAAGAGAGAGGAAGGGAGGCAGCCGAATGCGTTAGGGTTTGGGGGAGGACACCGCGCGGGGGGGTCTTGTTTGACCGAACCGCGCACGCGACCGTCCGAATGATGTGAATGTTGTATGCGGTGATGGGAACGTTGCGTGCGACAATGAGAATGTATTCTCGTCTGCGGATGTAAACAGAAAACGAAAGAGAGCTTACGATGCGTCGTCGAAATTTTGGCACTATCGTTTAGGCCATATTTCGAGGGGGAGAATAGAAAGACTAGTTAAGAATGATATTCTTCCTCCATTAGAGTTCTCAGATTTAGAACAATACAGAGAATGCATAAAAGGAAAGTATGTAAACAAAATTAAGAAAGATGCCAAACGAAGCGTAGGAATTTTACAGATTATTCACACAGACATCTATGGTCCGTTTCCTGTAAAGAGTGTGGATGGTTATGATTCGTTCATAACATTCACAGATGATTACTCCTGTTATGGCTACATTTATCCAATCAAAGAAAGAATAGAAGCATTGGATAAATTTAAGATATTTAAGGCAGAAGTTGAAAACCAACACAATTTAAAGATTAAGATAGTCAGGTCCGACCGTGGGGGGAGTACTACGGTCGGCATACCCCATATGTCTAAGTTCCTGGACCTTTTGCAAGGTTATTACAGGAGAATGACATAGTAGCCTAGTGTTCTACACTGGGCGAAGCTCAGCAGAATGGAGTAGCTGAAAGACGCAATCGTACCCTGATGGATATGGTGCGCAGTATGATAAGTTACTCCACCTTACCGTTGAGCCTGTGGATGGAGACGTTAAAAACCGCCATTCATATTCTCAATAGAGTACCAAGTAAGTCGGTGCTCAAAAC